ATGCCTGTTTTAGACCTTTTAGGTTTCAGTAAGTGGTTTACAAAACCATGCCATTAGAACAAGTTTATTTTCATCTAAGTAGAAGGTTCACAAAATAAACTTCTTACTTATTTTCTGCAATTGTTTATTTTTTAATACAGTTATAATTTTATTGTTTTTCTTTTCATGTTTTTTTCATGCATTGTTTCTTTTCTTTTTGGTTGTTGGGTTTTTGGAAACACTGTCAAGCCTTTAAGACCTGATTCTGTTTTTGAATTTTCTTTCCCAAAGCCTGGAGGAGATGGATGATCTTTTCTTGTATTTATTGGGGGGGGGGGGGGATACTTGGACATCTCTGAATGCTAGTTTAGTTCTTTTTTGTCTAATAATTAACACTATAAATGATCAAAAGATCAAATAGTTTCCTAAAGTTTCAATGATCCAATGTACTTGGATTATCTGACAAGTAAAGCCTTTGTTTTCTAACATAACATCAGTTTGGGTGTAATTTGATGGCTGTGGATTTTTCACAAATTAGTTTCTTAATGCAAATTATTTATTCTGTATTAGCCCATAAGATAAGAACGCGATTGTCTTCTGTTCTACAGTTGATAAAACAAAGATGACGCAAACTATAGATCTTAACTTGGTCTTCCTCAACACTAAGCATGTAAAACATTACTTCTGATTGGCTAATCTCAGGGCAATCTGTTTGTGATGTCATGCTAAAGATGCCAAAGATAACAGAGTTTGATGGAGTTAAACACTTGTTCTGCTGCTCAACTGTCTTTTTGCTAATGTTTGAATGCTTGCAAAACGTTGACGGATCAGTCTAATCAATGAAGTCAACAGCTGGAGTCATACTTCATTACATTATGCAGGTTTTTAAGGCTAAATTGGTTCTGTAGCTAACTCCATCTAAGCCTTTGTGTTTGACAATCCCTTCAGCTAGCAAGAGCGAAAAACAAGGATGCAAACCTTCTTGTTTTTCTTTTTTTGTTAATTTTTTCTTTATTTGTTTGCGTAGTGTCTTAAGGCAATGTAAGAATGTGGAGCTATCATTCAGTGATGTCGCTTGCAAGACTGATCTGCTGAAGGGGACCAAGAAAGGCACCATTTATCTAACACCATACAGGGTAACTCAGTTTGTACAATTAAGATATTTTAGATGCTGCTTTGGTCTTCTTGCATAACTTTTTCTTTTTGTTATTTTCCCTTCATTCACCTTTTCAGTTGGTGTTCGTGTCCAGTAACAACAAGGACTGCTTAGGCTCAGCCATGTTCCCCTATTATCTGATGAAGGGCTGCAGCATTGAGCAGCCAGTGTTTGGAGCCAACTACATTAAAGGCACCGTGACGGCTGAGGCAGGCGGTAGGTGTCCATATCATATGAGCGGATCTGTATGTGTTGAATTTAAGAGAAAATAAGGAATCTAATTCTCTAACTGGTTGTTTGTTTAGGTGGCTGGGAAGGTCAGGCTCATTTCAAGATGTCGTTTCCAAGCGGAGGAGCCATTGAGGTGGGACAGCATCTTTTCAAACTGGCGACAAATGGTTTGTATTCAAGTTTTCGGCTGTACTTTAAATTGTATTATATAAAAGCGAAGCAAGCATAATTACTTTTACCCTCAAACAAACACAAAATAAAGTTACTTTTAACTATTCTTTTGAAGTAACCAGGATAATCCTATTGGCCGCTATATGTGTGATAACAAACCCCCTTCCTCCTTTATGCTGCAGCATCTCGTGCTGCTCCGCCCCAGAACGGCGCTCCTGCTTATGGTTACCCTTCACCTGGAATGGTGAATGGGTATGGTCCACCTCCATTTGCTCCTAACGGCTATCCTTACCCACCCCCGCCCCAGCAGAATGGATTCTACCAAGGTCCTCCTCCTACTGCTCCTGGGAATATGGGCTACCCTTATCCAACTGCGGCAGCAGGTCCACATTTTGTCTTCTCTTAATCTTTTACTGTATTTTTCAGTTTTTCTGCTGTTTTTTTTTTTTTATCTGTAGCACATTTGCTGAAGGGTATTCATACGTTTAAACTTTTCAAATGTTTGAGAAAAACCTTCAAATATTTTACTATGATTATTGTGATAGACGAGTGAAAAGGACCACATAATAAAATTTAAATCAATAGTGTGTATATTGTGTACTTAAGTCTCAAAATTATATATTTTCTTCCTTTTTCTGTTCCAGGAATGTACCCGTCTGGATTAGACTACATGGCTCCACCCCCACCTTACCCTGGGCCACCCCAGAACTATGCTCCCTCTCCTCAGAACTGGAGCGCTCCCCCACCTCCTGCAGGTCTGTTGGTTTCTCTCTCTATCGTGTTCAGCCTGTGTCACTGCACCCGTCAGATCTCATCTGTCTGTTTTTAAGATGAATCATTTTTGAAACAGGACGGTTTAAAGAACTGGGCTGCTAATGTCTAATGCATTGAACATCCTAATTATAAAGGTTAAACAATCCTCACTGGCTCTAGATTCTACGCAAACACTCCCTCCCGTGCATATTGATCCAGTGTGACACGTCTCTATGTTCAGTCGGCCGTTAGCCTATGTTGCTCCTTGGGGAGTGCCGCTTGTTTCCGTCTGGGGGATTTCTTCAGCTGTCATTCAGGATTCATATGCACGCCTTGCTTACAGTCGTTTAAGCTGTGGCGTCTGCACCCTAAGTACGTTCTTCCCTCACGACCGTCTGCGTTAATCTTCTTGTCTTTGTCACATCTCGTTTTATGCACAGGTAACTCAAAGGCGGCTGAAGCAGCAGGCAATGCTTATTATAATCCCAGCAATCCCCACAGTGTCTACATGCCTGCGGTGAGCTTCCTTGCAGTATTCTTCGATAGCTATGTGGTTGTGTCAGCTATACTTTTAAAGAAAGGCACTCAGCTGTGTTTTATTCCCCCTGCAGGAGCGGCCTCCACCGTACGCACCTTATCCCAACTCCCCCGACAAGAAGAAAGACTGAGACTCCGACCATCACCTCTGTGGCATTCCTCTTGCTTCCTACCTGATCCAAATTAGATTCCGAAGCGATCAATGTTGATGGAAAACTGCTTGGTTGATTTACAAAGTGAAGGATATTGGCACAGAGCTCAAAGATGTCAGTAATTCTTTTAGCATACAATGAGTGATATTTTTGGAACATCAGTCAGTTAAAATGCAAAAGTGTCTTCAAACCTATGATAATAAATCTTACACTCTCAGCAAGGAAAACTACTATTTTCTGATTGTCTAACACCAAAGCAGTCCTGTTTTTGTAAAATCCGAAGCAGTATAAAAACATAAAAATTCCTGGGGAAAACATTCTCCATCTGAACACCATTTTCTCAGCATCTTAGTAAACACTGCGTGCGAATTATTATTTTTATGTTTGTTTTTGTGTGTATAAATATAAAGCAAATATCCGCAATTTTTCTTCAACTAGCAGGAGTGTTTCCTGGCGCTCATTAACTTTAGATTTTAAATAGCTTGATTAATTTGATGCTCTTTTTCCTATAACTAAATATTTCTCTAACATGGTTAAAGTTAAAAATAAGAAGTGCAATGTTTGGGGTTAAAGAGAAAAGTCAGATTTCATATGATATGATACGTTTATGTGCAATCTGTGATTTTCGATGCAAAGATGAGCTGTGACCAGAACTCCCCTCCTTCAGTAATTAACTAGTCTGAGCTGACAGAACCACAGTGAGTTATTCAGACTCATTACTGACGTTGATTTTTCTGAATGCGAAGCGTATGTTGCATATTGAGAGTGGAGGATGTTTCTCAATTAGCGTGCAGCAGTTGCAGTTTTATGGATTATTTGCACACAAACATCTTGAGTAGATACTTTACCTTATTTAATCAAATGTCTGTATTTTAATACCTTTTTTGGAGTTCTTCCTTTTTCTGCAGAATTTTGTTTCAGTTTAAAATCTAATAAAGAAGTCACTTATTAAAGCTGATGTTTTCATGTTTTGTTTAATTCATTGTTTGTATGTCAAAGTTCTCAATTTTTTCTTTTTTGTTTTAGCCCCCCTTGCTTAGAAGCAGCTTGCCACTGCTCAACACAAAACTTTGAACTTCTGAGACTTTATCTTTTTAAAATCCCAATTTATTTTGCTTAATTGTAGACAGAAATCAGAGACCCTAAACAAATATTCTACAGAACCATCTTTGGTTTTAACTAATACAGAGGAACTATTACACCAGTCGGCTGATATTTCGATACTAGCTTTTTGCCTTGTATGTGTATTGGCTGTTTGCATGGATGAATCATTGCTGCATTCAATAGCTCTGCCTTGAGATCATGATGGGTCAATGCATTGGTACACCCCTCACTTTTCTATACATTGTGTTGTTCAATATTTCTATTTTTATTTTGGGTTAAATTGAAAACATTTGATAGTTTTATCCTGTAAATGGAGGAGGAAAAAGTGATATTATCTCCAAGAATCAACTTTAAAATATTGGCAGCACATATTGGGAACCACATAGACCAAAAAAAGTTGTATAGGTCAATCTCTAGTAATGAATAAAAATCTTTTGGCTATGGCCCTATCAACTTGGCACATTAGGTTATTCTTTTGCATATCATTCTATCTTCAATCACCCAACCACTGTCAGATTGGATAGATTTGTAATAACCCTCCTACTTTGCCTCTGGCTCTGTTTTGTGTGGCTAACTTGCTAAATGTCTGAAATCCTTTGCAGCCTTTAGCAGATTTCCCTCCAATGTTCCCACCGTATGATAGATGGATACTTAAGTCCACTGTCTTGTGCAATGTCTTTTTTTTTTTCTCCACATGTATTTGCAATATAGGCCCACAATGTAAATGTTGGTTGTTTTCAACACAGCATCCGCTTCCTTAGGTTTGTTATGTCCCCTTCATGGTTTGTGAGAAACGCCTTTAGTTTTTTTTCTTGAAGCTCTTTCCTAAAGGCTGGGTTAGGAATACATCTAAAATACATGGGAGTAACGAATTTTAGTAATACAAAATTAAAAGACAAAAAACAATAAATAGGGACTATTACTGAATGATGCGTTTATTATAATGTATTTATTACACAATAAAATATTTTCAAGCCTTAATTAAAGCTACTTTAAGCACAGAACCCTGACAGCCACAGACTTTTCACAGAACAGTTTTTAGAGTTTTATCAGATAGAAATTGGAGTATTTCATGCAGTAAAACAAAAGGTCTTCACTGAACACAGTTACCTTTTAAGATAAACATAGAATATCTAACTTAGCACAAACAAACTTAAGTTTCCTCACAGCTGCACTACCAGAGATTCATTAGGTCCAAATCTAATCATTCCACTTCATAGATCAACTTTACTGTATTTTAGAGCCTTTTCATTTTGCAATCATTTCTTACTTTAACTCTTAGTCTTTCTTTTTTCTATTTTTATTAGCTGAATATGTGGTAGCTCATTGACATGGGAGCTAAACAGGGACTTATTAGCAGTAAAGGCAAATACAATTCTCAAGAAAATAGATTATCTACACAACTTCCTGCTTGAGAACTCAAAGCATTTTTAGTTTCCAATAACAGTTTATTTTTCAATAAACAAGATCTTAAAACTTTGGCCACTGAAAATAAATGCTTTTTGATTTTTTTTTAAATGTTAAGTCTAGAAGTATGATTTAAAGCAAAAAGAATTGCTGCTCCCTGAATATTTAATCTAACTTAACGATGTGAAAGATATTTTTTTAGAGGATTAATTGTTGGCTGTAACTGATTGTCTTCTCATGGGTCTTCCTGTAGAAACCAGACTTCATTTCTTCGTCCATAAGGCTTGAGCGGTGGGTCGTAGCTGCAGCAGAAGTACTGCTTGCGCTGAAAGGGGGTCGTCTCGCCTAGGGTGCGCATCAGGCGGGAGGCCTCCGCCCGATACTCACTCTCCCCTGCGAAGCCGGCAAACTGTCTGCAAAGCAGAAAAGAAATAGGAAATCTTCAAGCTGCATTATTGTATTCATGCGAGTGAAAAACATAATTAAGTCCAAACAGATCTGAATGTATGTGGTACACATATTTTCTATTAACACTTCTTCTAGTGAGTATTTTGTGTCTCTGTGCTGTGTTATAACTGCAGCACAACTGTAGCTGGTGGGTTTTTCAGTCCAATTCACTGTACAGAACAGCTGTGACTCTGGGGTACTGGTGGATTTCCTCAGTTGAACTGCTCCCTTTCTGTCCTTCCATGTCATTTTCCCTTAATGATTAGGGTCAAGACTTTAACTTGGTCTTTTCAAAGCATTCACTTTATCCTCCTGAAGCTTTTTGGTGGCCTGACTTCTTGCACATGGGTTTTTTGTCCCTTTTGTCCGACCCTAATAATCCTACATGGTTGGTAACCATAGCATAGACTGAAAAAAATAGGAAGAAAATAGCCATCATTATTGTTTAGATTACAACCAATCACCAGTTTGGTCTCTCAAGAAGAAACAATGAGATATGGGATCTAAGGAGGGATCCCTGAAAGCCAGTTAAACAAAGAACCACCTGTAAAAACCAAAATGAAGCATTTAACTGACAGCGCCATATTAACTCATGAAAAATAAGCATCTAGATGCCCTAAACTTATAGGGACACAAACTCTGATATTTCTTTTTTAGAATCAACTGATTTACCTAATCGTGGGTCCAACAGCTTCAGTCAAAGTCAGCCGTAATAATTTGACTGTCTATGAGCAGAAATGAATTCATCCAATCCATAACAGAAGGTCAGTCTCTTATTCAGCTTACCATGAGAATACCATGTTTTTCTTTTCAGCTCATTGTTCACAGATGGACTTCAGATCTAATCTAAATTTAGAGGAATAATCCAAAGGACAATGGTAAGCCTTTCTAGCTTAATCCATAACTGATGTGGAATTCAAAGATCTAAAATTAGATTCATTTTCCTGTCGGTTATGACAACAAAACACAACATGGGGACCCACATTATGAAAGCTCCACACTCTTCAAAGTCTTCTTTTAGATCACATCTTAAGACTCACTTTTTTCCCCTGGCTTTTAACAAAAATTGATCTGTTTGTTTGTATCCCATGAATCCGATCTGTCTTATTTTACTACTATTGTTTATGTTATTTGACTTTCTATAAATTCTCTCATTGATATATACAGAAGTTTGGTCAACAAGTTGTTTTTAAATATGTTTTATAAATAAGTTGGATTGGATTTTTACTAAAGTTGATAATTCTAAGAAAAGTAATCCTGCATAACTGAAATGTAGCTTTTCTTTTAATACTCACAGCTCTAAAGTTGGATTACATTGTCCATTTAATAATGGCCACCTCTCCTGGGTTGTATATAAAATAAAGGAGTCCCATTGCATGACACCATAAAAACAGTTTTTTTGACGATTCATGGTTCAGAGCCAGATGTTGGTGTTGTTATATCCTCTCTAACATAACCACAAAGGCCCACACTATGAGTCTACCACCACCATGCTATTTAGAAGTCACAGTTTGCTTTGTCCTTCCAACAGATTAGTTGAGCCAAAAGCTTCTGTTTGGTTCCACAAAACCTCTTCAAGACAGTCATGTGACTGATTTCTTTGTGCACTTTCTACTGAGCATATCTCTTGCGCGACCTGTAAATTTTTTTATTGCACGTTTTGTTCTGTTAGTGTTTGGCATTCACTCCATATGAAGTTTTTTTGAATTCTGTATATTTATTTGATATTTTACAAGTCTCCAGGTTAAAAAGAAATACCGTATTTTCACGACTATAAGGCGCACTTAAACGTCTTTTTTTTCCCTCAAAATGTGCGGTGCGCCCTATGGTGCGGTGCGCCCTATGTGTGTTGTAACTGCGACTTTTGAGACCACCTCATTGAGGAGATGATGAAAGAGTGGCTGAATGTAAGGAGACCAGCTGTTTTTTTCCCACTCATCACCATTAATCTGTAACTCCATGCGTGCCCATCTCACAGCTGATGTGAAAAACATGGGGAAACAAATTAACCCTGTGCTCGCTGTTCAACCGCTCGACATCGGTGTGAACCGGACCCAGCAGGTGCAGCAGAAGCAGCGAGTTTACATGCAAAGTCAATGGTTGACGCGCGTATAGGTGCAGCAAAAGTCCTGCAGCGCGTTTTGGTGCAGCACGTCGGGAGCATTTAAGCATCTGATGCACCGCCAACGTGCTGCTGCTGCTCAGATGGAAAAATTGAAGTTTTGCTGCTGGACGCGCCGCATCAACCAATCAGAGAAGCTGATCTGGGATCTGACAGCGAGACAGACAGCGCTTTGATGACATATGATGAGAAGACTAGGTGGTTTTTTCCACGCATCACCATCGCTGCGTGCCCATCTCACAGCCGATGTGAAAAAAAGATGAATCAAATGAACGCTGTGCTCGCCGTTATCCCGGGGGGTCTGACAAAGGAACTTCAACCGCTCGACATCGGTGTGAAGGGGCCGTTCACAGTAAGGCTGCGAGCGGCGTGGGAGCGATGGATGACAGACGGAGACCACAGTTTCATGATAAATGGAAGGCAGCGCCGGGCAAGTTACGCCACCGTTTACGGATGGATTGTAGATGGACTGTGTCTGCTGGCTCTGTTGTTCAAGCTTTCGCAAAAGCCGGCATTATTTCTGAGGAGCTGCGCTGCACGGAAAGTGACTGACAGCGCAGAAGGGGAAACTGGCATGTCTGATTTAGCGCAGCTGTTTTATTCAGAGGAATGCAGAGGATAACAGAGGATGATGACTTTGATGGGTTTGATTAATACTTTGTAATAAATACATGAATAAAGCACAATCATACTCAGTTTTGCTCCCGCTCTATTTTTCTACCTGAAAACTTAATTCAACAGCAGCGGGCGCGTCTCCTCCTCTTCAGCGCGGTGGCTGGCAGGTGTTTTTTCATCTAAATAATCTAAATCTTGCAGCTATTTGCTGTAATCAGTGGGAATAAAGTAGTTTTAATATGTTTTTAAGTGAGAAAGTCCACCTGAAAACTTCATAATTGCAGTCAGTTCATCCAGATTATCTATTTCTGTCGGAGGCGCTCAGACCCCCACATACCAGCGGTGCACCGACAGGAGAAATCCTTTCGTTCACCGCGGCTGCTGGCAGGTGTTTTTCATCTAAATAATTTTAGCTGCAGGCACCAGGATACCGGTAATAAAAGCGAACATATTCCGTCGGCAGGTTTCAGGATTTTAAGTTAATTTAGGAGTGATCACAGCGCTGTGTCATCTGCGATGTGTCTGTCTCACGGCCAGCTGCCAGGTTTGATTAATACTTTGTAATAAATACATAAATAAAGCACAGTCATACTCAGTTTTGCCCCCGCTGTATTTTTAAATACGCAGTAGAGGTATTTAAAGGTAGTAGAGGACATGTACCTGTATATAAAAAACGCGCCCTATAGTCCGGTGCGCCTTATGTGTGTGTTAAATACAGAAATGGGACACATAACTGAGAGTGCGCCTTTTAGTCCGGTGCGCCTTATGGTTGTGAAAATACGGTAATTTGAATTTTCAGAAGTCTGGGGATATATATTTTTGGTTATTATTATTATTTATTTTAAAAGCAATACCCTTTCTTTACATCTCACTTTATGAAAAAATTTTAGCTGGAAGGTTTTATGAAATCTTTGGAGGATATTTCACCTTCAACACTAATTAGCCTGCAGATTAATTCAGTTTATTTACTTACATGTACAATTGCTGCTATACATAATATATCAGCTTCTCTATGTTATATTGACCTCTAGTTTGACAAACCTTAAGGTATTGAAATAATGCATCATATATGTGATTTTTCATGTTGCTTTTTTTCCAACTGTGTCACTAAATATATTGTGTAGTACATGTTAGATTTAAAAGCAGTATAAAGACTACATACAGAGCATATACAGTCATGCCAGGCCGCTCCTCAACCTTGATGGCACTGTCAGTGGGAACTGGAGGCTCCCGCTGGTAGGCGTTGGGGATTCGGATGCCCACCACCAAACGTCGGGAGAAAACGCCATCATTCCGTGGGTACACTGTGATGATGATGGGAAAGGCTATTCCCATGGCCTCACCTTTGAACCAAAACATCACAGGGAAAATGGATGAGTGATTTTCCTAAGGTTCAAAGCATTTTTATCTAAAAACAGCTTTTTTTTTCCTGTTCTGAATTGACAGAATGATATTTTAAGATGTAAGAGTGAAGCAAATTTTCAGAGCAATATATATAGGTGGATAAATATATAAAAGATTCTGTTTTTTGTTGCTGCCACGTGGTTCTGACTTTTATGGTCATCTATGCTGTGGTGAGGTTTTAAAAGGCACTGATAAAGATTCTAGAGGAGGCTTTTAATTTATCTAATCTGAGGGAATTTTACTCTGAAAATAAACGTTCTATTAAAAGTGTCGTTTTAGAGAGGGACCAAATGTCACCTCTACCTGAATAACTATTTATTCAATTTGAGTAAAACTTATAATCCTCCAAATTTTCTGTGTAGATTACATTGCATGTTGCTTAATCTCTACATTTTAAATACAATAATCAGCTTTGTACATTGTGTTTGTTATGCAACAAATCTTGTTTTTAACAACATTCACGGGTGTTTGGTTAAAATAGAGTGAGGTTTGGTTGCAAAGGTTGCAATATATCTTTTTTAACCTTGCTCGTTGTTTCCGCCAATGTACATCAGCAGTTTCCGCACCAGCTCTCCGATTACTTGATCATACGTTCTTCCTTCAGAGGAGATGGAAGCGTACTTTGCAGCATCGTACCGTCTCACCTGAAAGCTAACTCCGTTCTGTGGATGAGAGGCAAACAAGACAATTATAATAGACCCAAACAGCCTGTGACAGGTTTCCCAAATAGCTGCAGGAAACATTTTGCACATACATGTTAAGTTGTGTCCTTTCTAATGAAATAAGCAGCGAAGCGGTAAAGTTTAGGTATAAATAACTCCTTTCTGAAACACAGAAGATAGAAGCGATCTATTTTCTAAATATAATCTGAAAAAAGAAACCCATGGTGTGCCTTTGCCCTGTTTGTTCTTCTACCCTAAAATATGTGTAGTCAATACTCTTCATAAGTCTTCTAATTACCTCTTGGTAAATGGCTACTCTGCAGGAGGAGGAAATGCCATAAGGTGGGAGAATCTGTTGGCTTGGTTATTATGTTATCAATTCTCTAAAGCTTTAATGGAGTGTCTGTAGGATAGCCTCAATAATTCCTGTTTGCAGTTTGTCATATGCGCTGTAAGAGACAAAGCAAACATGTGGAAGAACATGCTCTGGTCTAAACTGACCAAGACTGAACTTTCCGAAAATGAACTGTTCCTCATTACAAGTGCAGCATCACCATGATGAAACATGGTGGTGGCAGCATCATGTTAGGGGAAAACCTTCCTTCATCAGGGGCAAGGATGATCAGAGTGACGAGATGAATGCAGCTAAATAAAGGACAGTCTGGGAGGAAAACCTGATAGAGGGTGTAGAAGAGTTCAGACGGGTTCTGAGTTTGACCTTCCAACAGGAAATTGTCTTTAAGCACAAAGCCACACATAGAGGAACGGTTTATAAAAAAGCATGTTCACGTATCAGAGTGGCCCAGTCAAAGTCAAAATCAACATCACTTTAAACTGATGTCCAGTATAGTTGAACAAAATCAGCAGTAGGTGCCTAAAGCTGCTAGAAACCTGCAGCAGAAAATGTCAATGTTCAGGTTTATCAAGTTGGGGAAACCAAAATACAAATGCAGACCACACTTTTCAGATTCAGTTTTTTTAAGAATTTGATGCAATGTATCAAAAATGTAGAAGTGTGAATATTTTTGCAAATGTTACACAGGTCAAATTCAGATGAACCATATTCGCCCTGATCTGATTATAAGTCTTGTTCTGCTCTGCAGGGTTCAGTGAGCTCCCACAAAACAATGGACCAGATATGTGTGCTCTTACATAACAGTGCAGAGGTATTGAGGCGATATAAAAACAACTTACACAAACATCTGCATTAAATACTGATGCTTAAGTGGGGTTAATGTGGATCAGAAATCATTCCTCTACTGGCTTCTTATTGTTATCCGGAGTTTTGAGATATTCTACAGTTTGAAACTTGGATTTTAACGGCCAGTTAATGTTTTTAATGCTTTGGAAATAAGCTGCAAGTTGTTACAGTTTATTAACCTGCAGATGATTGTTGCTCGCAGTGTGACACCTGTAACGCACCATGAGAAGAGGAATTATGTTCAAAGCCCAATTTTCACTCTGCTTTTCTATTGGTTTGTGGGCTGTTTGGAATTATTTTCTTCTCCCTTCAGCAACATTAAAAGCTAATATGTTTCTTGCAGATAATGGGATATCTATCCCATAAAATACATTTTCAGTGTTGAATCCTCATTTCAAATCCCAAGGTAATAAATACACACACACACACACACACACACACACACACACACACACACACACACACACACACACACACACACACACACACACTTTCACACACACACACACACACACACACACACACACACACACACACACACACACACACACACACACACACACACATACATATATACATACATATAAGCTAATTCCAATTCTTTTTGCCACACAGAATAAATCCCATCGCTATCACGGAGCTTTGGCTTGTGACAGGTACACAGGCTCTTTGCATAGCAATTAAATAGTTAGCACTGTAGAACTTGTCACTGGGCCCGACATTAACATTGTGCGTGGCTGGCGAGAAAGCTGGGGCCCTATTCTGTGCAACAGTGCAATTAATCTGACATGAGCATGCAAGCTGTGTGCCCGTGTGTCTTTATGTTTGATGTGCATTGTAATCAGCCTGTGCCTGAGAAAGTGCTTAGATACAAAAAAAAGTAAATAAAATTAACTAACGACAATAGAGAGTAGAATCCATGACTTTGCTTTTTTGGTTTAAAACAAAATATTGTGCTCAGAAGGGTTTATGCTTAGTTTCACCCTTTTCTTGCTATGAATGTGTGAATATGCTCCATCTCCTCTGTAGCTGGCAGTTTTAATTAAAAGTGTAAGACAGGTGCTTTATACACTTGAAACCAGATATTGGCAAAGGTTCTATAAAAAGAAACCTTCACAGTATAAAACGGAATTAGACTTTATTTAGGATTAGGATTATCAAGATAATTTACATTTGCTGTTAAAATAATTGGTCAGATATATTCTTTTTCAGTGTCCAAAGCCACAATCTGACTGTATTTATAATAGCACTTAAGTCCTAGATGCTATAGTCCCAGAGGCCCGAGAACAAGCAGGAGATCAGATCCGGGCAGACAAAGGAAGTCGGAGTAATCAAAAGGGCGAAGCCAAAGCCGGTGTCGAGGATACGCTCAGGATTTAGAATGAGGAGATCGGAAGTCCGAAGAGGTTCAACAGGGAAATCCAAGTTCGAAGTTCAGTAAAACAGGCAGAATCCAGCAGGAGTCCAAAGACAGGTCAGGAAAACAGATCAGACGGGAACAGGCAGGCTCAGTGGTTGAGAGGCAGAACAGGTCAGGATCAGGTAATTGGAAACACTAATGTTAGGCTGAACACTCTCACTACCGGCTTGAGAACAATCTGGCACTGATGACTGGAAGCAGGCAGGTTAAATAGAGGTTGGAGCAGGTGACACAAAGGAACGGTGCGCAGATTTAGGCAGATGAACAAAATGAGTAATCCAGCCACTTATCAGCGCCAAGATCATGACAAGTATTTGTAGACATAGACCGATTGATTGGTCAGCCAACATTTTTTGGTCAATATATGCACGTTTTATTGTATTGGTATAGACTGATGCATGCGTCTGACACAAAGAAAGAGGGTTTTAGCGGCGCTGCCTTAAATACATTTATAGATGCACCTGTTTTTACCTGGGATGTTCTGAGAGGTTCTAATAAAGTCTTAAATAATTCATTATTTTATCATACCAAGGCATGCAGTTCTAAATGAGAACAAATGAATAAAAACTTGCCTAGAAATAACTTTTTGTCATTATTCTAGCATTTCCCATATAAAAAACTTTATTTTTTTTCTTTATTACCGGTATCTTATTATCTATAACAGGAAAATATGTTTTTCAATTCAATTCAATTCAGTTTATTTATATAGCACCAATTCACAACACAAGACATCTTAAGGCACTTTACAGTTCATCCAGATCATACAGTCGAATTGATTCAAAGTTTTTTATCTAAGGAAAACCAGTTGATTGCATCGACTCATTGACTCAAATGCAATCCCTTACAATAATTTTAGAAATTATGTCAAACAAATAATAAAAACATGTATGTGTAATCTGCTCTGTGTAAGTAAATATCTGATTTCCTCTGTAGGACATTGTACCAACGAATGCAATTAAATCAAAGTTTGTCAGATCCTGATATCCTTGATGTTATTTTGTAAGATGAATCACTCAATCATTTATTAGGTAAATAATCAGCAAATAAACTGACCACCATTTGACACCAATGGAGAAAAAAACAGCATTGTTTTGGATGCATTGAAGAGCTGTTATTTCCACATTATAAAACAACGGCTGGCTTCAGGAGTCTTTTTTAAATATCTCATTGTCACGTGATGTCCGCTTGGCTGTGTCAGAACGGATCTATCCATCAGTGTGTGTGATTGTGTGGTCAGTTTGGGCGGTGTTCTCTTGTGTGGATTGGAAATCCTATTTTATCCTTCCATCTCCCACTCAGAAGTTATCTTTTGTTTGGGAGATACATGAACAAAGAGACTGAAAACACAGCAACACGTGGTACATGCAAAACATCCACAGAGTATGAGAACTACTGGTGCCTTTCTAAAAATACGCACTAACAGTATACCTGTGAACAGTTTACGTACTCCCTACATTGAAATACTTCAAAGTTAGTTTGAGCAATTAAGGAGTTGAATTACATCTGGCTTTGCCGTTAAACATGCCAAGTACTTCTATCAGCCATCTTTACCCCTTCCAAAGTTAATTTTGAGGATCTTTCTGCAATAGAAAGACCACATTACATCTAGGTTTTCATCATCTGACCCAGAATGTTCAAGATTAATCCAAAAACCTCCAAGACTGAAGATAAACAGAGAGGAAGTCATCAAAGAAATCAGCTCTTGTTCCAAAAATCAGCACCTTCAGTCCTAACTTACATTTGAATGTACCCAAATAAACAAGGTCAGATGAGACAGGATTGAGCTATTTGGCCCTGATGACTGGAAAAATTTTTAGGGAAGTCAAGGTAATGCTTTAAACCTCAAAACAATGTACCAGCTGATAGGGATCATGACAGTAGCATCATGCTACATTTTTTTCTAAGCTGGTCAGGTGGTCTATACAAACTGGAAGGAGGGTCTAAATTATTTAAAATTGCCTCAAATCAACAGCAAAATTGTTGGAATGTGGATCTACTGTAGTTGTAAGAAAATGTTTCAAAATAGATCATTTAAGTATCTTAAAAGAAGAAACATCTGGTTTAAAGTATAGGATCTAGATGAAAGTGTGTAGTTCTTCCTGATAAGAGCAATAAACCAATTGTTGGTAGGATGTTATATGTAGATACAATACATCTAACTTGAGTCTATTAGAGGAATCTGTAAAAAAATCTGAACATGTACACATTCATGGTGTACCACTGTGCACCACTGAAGCCACCGAATCATGCTGTCTATAAGCTAACATAAAACAAATCCCACAAACCACAGAAAGGTTTAATTCAGCCCTTCCTGAGCAACTAGGTTAACCAAAAACTCTAAGACGTATCTCCATCCAATGTAGGTTGATGTAATGAAGTTATTGAGGGCTGAAATGAAATCACACAAACCCATGAAAACATGACCCCACTGGTCCACTGCACTGACAAAATGCATGCTCTTTACTCCAGCCCTAATATCAACAAGGATCTTTAACTCTTACAAGATTTATCATTAAGAAGAAACGCCTCCTAACAGCATGACGGTGCCACCACCGCATGTTTCATAGTATGGATGGTGTGTTGAGAGAGATGTCCAGGACAAGTTGTTTGTATTTTGACTAAAAAAAGCAGTGCATTGTAATGAAGTGATCCGGACGTTATTTAGAAAATAAAAAGGTGGAGTGGGTTTTTATGTAAAGCTGCAAAGACATACCCTAAAGGACTTGCAGGGTTTGGGGTTTTGCAGCCTTTACAAGTTTTCTTGCCCAATCATCCTTTAACAATTTAAGTTTATTGATCTCACATTGGAGAAATTTACCTCTGCACAGTGGTGTCAAAAGTACACACATTTGTTACTTAAGTAGAAGTATAGATACTGCAGTTTAAAAACACTCTGGTAAAAGTTCAAGTATCAACTTGACCTCTTTACTCAAGTAAAAGTTAAAAAGTAGGTGCTCCAAAAACTACTTAAAGTATAAAAGTATAAAGTTAAAAAAAAAAAAAAACAGCCAGATGCCACTATGAATTGAAAGCTCAATTTTAAGGCTATTTCGAAAAATTCTTTGAGATAGGGCCAAGGATGAGGGAGGTCTTGTTGGTCTCCATCTCCCGATACGCTCTCGCCTGTGTCCGACCTTTCAGACATTTCAACATCTTTTTCTGAATCCGACATTGTAGCATGGCATAGACAATTCAAAGTTTACGGTTTGAAGAACACCTGCTTGCTTCTGATGATTTCCTTTAGCTAACCAATGAGTGTTTGCATTATGACTCATCCAATTACACTAGTTTTCACTAGATGTGGATGGAGCCAATGATCTGCATTGGATGGCGCACATGACATGAAATAAATATTTATAAGCATTAAACTAAAGCCAAGAGTAACAAGTAACATTTGTTTTAAAAATGTAAGGAAAAGAAAGTACAGATACGTGTGTGAAAATGTAAAGTAGAAGTCAGAAGTAGGAAGAAAAATAAGTAATAGAGTAAAGTGTAGATACCCAAAAGTACAGTAGCAAAGTATTTGTACTTGATACTTGACACTCTCTGCATTTAACCCATCCCCTTGGAGAGCAGTGGGCTTCCATGGTGGGGCGCCCTGGGAGCAGTGTGGGGTTAAAGGTCTTTCTCAAAGAGCAAGAGTGGCAATCTGTGGGAGTGGGGCTTGAACTCAGAACCTCAGGATTACATGTCCTAACCCCTAAGCCGCCACTCCCCACTTTATTTATCTCCAGCACCTTCCCATGAGGTCTGACACTATTGCCAGAAAAAAGTGTGCACACAGCACGATGCTGCCATGCATCACGGTGATGTAGTAAATATAGCATCCCCATATAGCACCCCCCTTGACTCACTCACTCTCCTTTCCATCATTATTCATGCCTGACTTGTTGGCCGGCACAGGACCTCGGGGCTCCTTTCCTTGCTGCTGTGGGTCAGCAGGCATCCTTACAGGTCACAAGCAAATACACTTAAGTTGGGCTTTCTGTCAAGGTTACAAGAGCTGCAAAAGCATTAAATATATATACAAATACTAAATGCATCTCATGTGAAAGTTAGGAATTGGAAAAGGGAATTTTACGCACGTTTCAACGCAATCGAACAGGCGTGAATCTGTGCGTAATAGGCTACTCGAGGAAAACCCAGATGTTTGCTTCAGAAATGCGCACAGCTGGAGCTGCCTCTGCGATGCTTACCTTGGTCTCGCTGCTGAGCACTTTATAATCTGTCTCCTCGGAATTTCCGAAGAGGGAATTTCTGATCATACCAAACATGGTTTCGGACTAATCACCTCTCCTCTCTCCACTCCTTGCGCTTTTAATTTTTTCTCGGCCTGTCTTTCTCTTGCAACTTGCTCCCCGGAGAGAAAACCAGACGCACAGGCACTTGGTCACTGCGAAGTCCCTAAACAGCTGTTTTCTCCTCCTTTTCGGAGGAAGATGATGCTGAGCGTCCTTTCCTTTAACAAACCAATGACCAAAGCAGCCTCCACGCTGTCCCCGCCTTCCGTTCCTCTCCTCCAAGCCTGACGCGCATCTCCACCTAACGTGACTCATTTTCCAACAGTAGATTTCTCTCAGAATAGTCCAAGTTGTGCTGATTTGATTCAAAATAATGAAACAAACACCTCCTCCAGTTCCCTCCTGTTTGAAAGTTACAAAACCTCAATGCCAGTTTGTTCAGCCTTCTTTTTTCCACTGCTGCCTGATTCAGGATGGCAGGATGAGAAGAAGCACAATTGCATATTTATTTATTTGTGCGTAAAATCAAGCGAGACGCCCAGTTTTATTTGCCCCGCCGTGTTTGAGGATGTTATGAGTTTGTACATGTGCGCACATCTTGCTCCCCTTGTGCCACTGCGCGCTGCTTTGCTCTAGGGTTGGTCTATTTTAAATCACTCTGCAGGCAACGTTAGTCACCGCCGCGCATTAAGAGCAAAAAATGCAAAAGGGTAGAGTTATAAACGTGGAGGAAAAAGTGAATTTGACAATGCAGCTCCGGAAACAGAGGTGGTTCCTGCATGAATACAGAGGCGTAGCCAGACATTTTTTTAGAAGGGTTGGGCAGGTGGCCAGTTTGGTCAGGGTCCTCAGGGTCAATCTATACTAATCTAACAGGAAAATGAACTAACAATACTTTCCTCCAACCTTTGCTAACAAATAGACACATATTTAAGCATCCTTGCTTCCTAGTTATAAGTCATAGTGGATAAAGTTCTTCCAGGTTTGATTTCCTTTCCATTGTCATTACTCATTCTGCTTAAAATAGAAATTTACTGTCAGGATCTGTTTGTGAATTGTTGACCCAAAAGCAGAGGCAGGAAGGCAAAGGTGACGTTATAGTAGATTTAATGATGAGTACTGAAAACAAAGTCCAAAAACAAAACAAGAAACCAGGAGTCCAAAAATTCAAAGATCTAAAAAAAAAAAAAAAAACACATGAAAACACAAGTCAAACATTACCAAAAACCATGGAGTCATCAGGGGAATAACTGTAACCAGGAGGAAGGCTTGGAGAGATGAGTTGGAGGTAGACTGAGGAGGTCAAACAAACAAGAACTGAAGAGAGAGGGCATGTAAAGGAGACTGAGACAAAGAGAAGACAAATAAGCAGATTGGGAACAGGTGAGCACAGGGCATGAGAGGAAAAGAGCTAGGAAAAAAAGGAGAACACAAGAGGGCAGCAGAGGGGAACAAATAAAAAACCTAGAAAGCTGAAAATAGCCAGAAAACACAACAAAATAATAATTAAACCACTAAGAATATATAACATGGAGCAAAGTAAAACTGAAAACTCAAAAGAAAAAAACAAAGCCAAAACTGAAACAGTAAAACCCAAAGAACACAATAAACTACGAATTAAACAATTAAAAAACTATAAAACAAAGAGCAAAGCAAAACTGAACATCAAAAGAAAAAAATTACAGAAACAGAAACCTAACATTTACAGGTACTTATTTCTTAAAAAAAATATACCGGTATATATATATTTACAAAGTTTTTATTAAAATAGTTTTAATTTATCTAGGCTTAACTGAAGACTACTAGATGACTTTAATTTTCTCTTTACCCCATATAACAAAATCTATTTTTGAAAGAGCCTGAATTCTGTACTTATCATCTTTAATGTTAGTATATTAATGTGCATAATTAACCGCAGTGTTTTTGTTGTCAAGTAATTTTTAAGGTGTGAAAAATAAAGATTGTTTGGATATTGAGAGTATTACTGCTGTCACTATCTGTATTTTAGGGAAAAAATGGTAGGGGTTACCACAGGGGTGGCCAATGATTGGCTAAGGGTGGCCATGGCCACCCCTGGCCCCCCATCTGACTCCGCCCCTGCATGAATGGCACCCTGAGTGGGACCATGCTTTTGTAGCCTCAAAAGAAAAAAAAGGAAATGGTGAGAAATTGGTTTACCTGAGAAGTTTGGGTCATGATCTTAATATCCTGATGTCCTTTTATTAAGATTCAAAAGTCTTATTATCATTAAATTGGCAGTTTTTTTTCCTGAGACATATGTAGGTATAATATGTATACAAAATCAAGAGAAGATGCATCATACAGAAAGCCCATATTCTTATCTTCAGCTACCACAGTATACATGTCAGATTAAATAATACTACTTATACTTCAGTGATAGTATCAAGGTGTTACTTTATTGTATTTCTTATACCATATAAGTTCGTTGTGCTGTTCTTTTTACATCTCTTTGCGGGTGATGAAGCAGACTGAAGATTTTTTATCATTGTCTCCCTTTTATCTCCTCTTTCTTTCATGTTTTCTCCTTTTTTTCTGTTCTACGTACATTGCAGTGTCTATAAAATCTGTAATGTTCCCTGCATGAATTATAATAAAGCTATTTACTGTATATGGATTAATCAAGCGGAACACCATGGCGTTGGCTGTACTGCTTCATTTGAGAAAGCAAAATCTGTTGGGCTCTTTTTGGCATCAAGACAATTATTGTTATTGCCTCATTGCACAGACGCACTGAGTTGGACTCAATGCACAAGGTGGCCCATCTTCTCTTAGACCTTCAACTACATGTAAACAAATGAAAACCTACTTTTGGATGTGGGAAACAAAAGGATCCTAACTAAATTAACATCTCTGTTGGATAATGTTTCCCACCCCATGCATGAAGATGCTGCAGAACTGGAGAGCTCCTTCAGTGACAGACTACCGCACCCTAAATGCATCAGGGAGCGTTATCACAGATCTATAACCATCAATGTTCCCAACAACCTCAATAAGTTGTTACATTTATGCTGATTTTGCACAGTTTCTATCTTAGTCAGTTAAATAACATACTGCTGTCATTTTGCACATCTCAGATGTTGCTGTTATTTTCAAATATCTTTTACTGTAAAAATGTCCATAGCTGTATAATGGTTATTTATTCTCCATGTGCACAGTATTCATATTATTAAAACACTTAACAGGACAGTATTTTATTTGTTTATGTTTTGACTCGTCACTATTATGTTATTCTTATACACTTTTCTAAGGTCCACATTTGTGTGATAATTTTTTTTTCTACAATCCTTTTGTTGCTTTATACACCAGAATTTCCCTATTTCCCTAAAGGGATTTTATATTATATTCTATTCTCCAAGAATGTGTGTCTTTCAAAACTTTTAAAACAAAAAATAAACTAATGCCATCTAATTTAGAAAATGTCCCTTTTTGAAAAACAGTCAGATGGATGAACTGTTTGAGCTCCACTTTTAAAGTCTGGCTGTTGATTTTTAAATAGAACTGTTGCAAGCTGCACTTCGATTGCATCATTGCAAAAACATTAATAAGCTCTTCTTCTGGTCCAGTCTCAAATGTTCCTCCAGGATCACCTTTTATGTAGCTTCAGCCATCTTTCAATCAACCAACTTTCTCGCTCCTTCGCAAAGAATAAACATAACACAGGTCATTTCTACTAAATTGACATTGGGTCAATTTAGTAGAATGTATTAAAGGGGCAGAGGTGGTCTTCTTGGTTTTTGTTTGTAAGGTTACATCTTAAGAATGTGTAAATCCAGCATAAATTAGGATCAAAGAAAAACAGAACGGCCTCACTGAATCTTGAATGTCTCACCACCAATGCAGAGCTTGCTTAGCACCAGCAGCATGATTGCATCACACACAAGATGAAGGAAAAGCTTTCTGACAGTGATACTACATGACAAGAAGGGAGGAAAATATGTCCAAGGAAAACTTTAAGCAAACATTGGATTCTACCAGAAGAACCAAAACAGAAAGCTTCGGTCTCGTATAGCTGTTTTTTCCCCTTCCTTTTAGATGAATCCTCCTTACAGATGTGTATATTATTTGGGAAAATAATTTTGTGTGAAGAAACCTATTTTATTTAAAATGTAAATTCAGTTTCTGCTTCCTATTTATTTTAGTAAACCATTTCCAATTTCCTTAGTTACGATTTCTTCTACAGAAATAAACTAGCCTCTTCTAGCTGCCAGGGACTTCCCTTCTCTTAACTCGATTCTTTTTCTGATATTCTGGATTTTCCCTCAGTCAAAGGAACGTAATTTAATCATCTAAGTGGAGTTTTATCTTTTCTATTTTTCCTAAAACATGAAACAAGAAAGTCCTGGATAGTGTATTGTGATGAACAACTATTTTGTTCTCGTCGTGATTTGGAATAACATATATAAGTAAAAAAAAACAAATAATATTTAGAGAACCTGGAATGGACTTCAATACAAATTCTTCAAATCAGTTTATGATCGTTAACATGTTTATTTCATCAATTCGTCAAGAAAAAGTAAATAAAAAATAGAAAGATCTATTTTCTGGTATAAACCAAACCCACTGTTCACTGAATAGATATAGTAGAAGGTAGCAAAAATCTTTACTTTTTAAAGACCCAATAAGCCCAATTCCAAAGCAAAAACCTAATAAAATAAGAAACAGTTAAAATGAAAAAGGCTCTGTATTCAACCTTAAATTAAAATAGCCGAAAATAAAACAAGAAGAAACTGGAAAAAAAATGTTTTTAGCTAAAAAAATAAAATAAAATGCATATAGATATATATTTATTGACATGTGAAATAAAACCTTTGTCTGCACTTATACACGTGCTTGTTAAAAAAAAAAAGACATCTGGAAGCAGTTAAAACCTTTTATTTTCAATAAATCAAATACATACGTTTGTTAAAAATGGTGGCAACAAAACAAAAAAAGTTTGAGATCTTATCCCAAAATTCAAACACTGGAAACCTCTTCACACGTTAATACATCGGCTAAGAAAGCCGAATAACGATCAGTTCAGTAGGGTTGGAGGTTTATTACAGCCTTTTTATATCATACAGATATTTATATTCATACATTTGATCCCTTTTCAGATCACCTTGAGCAAAAGTTGCTCAACAGAATAAACAAGTTCCCTCAGTCAACAATTCCAGAACCAGCAGCATCTGATCAACATAGTTTAGATAGGATGAGGGCAGCTGGATGAGGCCTGATCGATTCATCAGCTCTCCATGCAGGTGATTTCAGCAGAGTTCCAGGATTTTCTCCCACCGATTAACTTCATGTCCTTATTTCTCCCAGCCTTTCCCTCCAGGTTGTGTGGGCACCCTGAGCCCTACTAAGCCTGCTACTTCCTCAGGGCTGCGTTCCCCCTTGCCGTGGTAGAGGTTATGCAGGGCCAGATGGTTCCTGGTGGACGCCAGCAGACACAGGTATGTGAGCGAGGCATGGTGCGCCTCCTGTTGGGCTCTGCAGTACCTTTCTCCTGTAACCTGTGACCAGAAAATACAAAATAAACAAACGAACGTAAACAAATAGACAATAATCCATTGGACTTTGACTAGGCCATTCTGGTTTTGGTTCTATTAGGCTTACTTTTAATTTCCAGCCTCAAACAAGTTTTTCTGGAAGTATTTCCTTTTATACTTCCGTCAGACCTTTTCCCTGCTAAAAATTATTCCCATAGGATGATGCTGCCACCTCCATGTTTACCCATTAGAAGATGAAGTTAGTTTACATCGAGTAGAGAGACTTTACATCTAGGCCAGGAAGTTTAATTTTGGTTTCATCTTACCAGAGGGCCTTCTTCCACATAGCTTAGCTGTTCAGCCAACATTGTTATTGGCAAACTTAAAGAACAATATTACCAAATTCCTTTATTGAAATTAAAATCAGCTCAATAATTTCCATCTGGAGGCTTTTTTTTCTTGATTCTGCGCTTTCCACTAAAGACTCTGGATGACAAAGTCTCCCATGGCAATTTTAGCATAAGAGCCTCATGACCGAGGAGCAGCATGGCAGAGAAATGCTGGATGAGATTTGGAAAAACAGAACAGAAACGCTTTCCAACCTGAACGTGACAGCTACAGTGTGGGAACACTTTAAAATTTAAAACCAATGATAAGTTGTTTATCGCAACAACTTCTGGGACAATCATCCAGCAAAATGTATCATTGTGACAGGCCTAATAAGGATTCCACTGTGCAACACTTAAAGAAAAAAAGGTATAATTTGAACAACTAACAGTCCACCTCTCAGTAGGTTCTCTGACTTTTGCACTGGTCTCCTGGCTGCTCCTCTAACATCTAACATTAACAACCTTGTTGTACTTTCAGCAAGTTATGGACTGTTCTTTTTTATGTGATGAAAAGAACAGGGCTCAGTAAGATATGCAAAGCTTGAGATGTTATCTTAGAACTTTATCCTGCTATAAACTTCTCCAAAACATCCTCCCTGACCTCTTTGCTGTCTTAAATGTACACTTTAAAGCTCAGGCAGCAACGTACAGCGAGTCAAAACGAAATATGACAAGCAAGAGTTCCTCAAAGCTGTTTTGCTTCAATAAATAGATATGCATACAGCAATCCTGCTGAGCAGCGCCCTCCCAAGCATTAATAATGCAAGCTCTAAGCCTAGATGGCAAAGAAGACACCGACTGACAGATCCTGGATGATGGTGACTGATTTTTACCAGACACAAGAGAAATTGTGGAGCAGTGGGAGAATCCAGCCTAAAATACAGGGATAAGAGATATTTGGTCTTAAATATTTTCTGTGCTTAACCTCAACAGCTCACAGTGTTTCAGTAATGTATTTGTTTTAGAACACATTTAAAGCCCCACAAACGGCTTTGATAATAAACTTTATCAACATTACAGTAGGTATACAAAGTATGATAACCAAGTGATACAAACAATTTAAGTAATAAAACTTGTTTTGGGGATTTATTACATAATATCTGTGGATGTTTTGGAGATATCCTTCAATATTTTTCTATTTTTCCTTCCAGCTTTTATTGTCATTATACTGTCACAGGTACAGAGCAACGAAATTAACAATTTACATTTAACCCATCCCCTTGGGGAGCAGCGGACTGCCATCGTGGGGCACCTGGAGAGCAGTGTGTGGTTAGTCATAGGGAAGTGGCTGTTCCAACCGTTGCATTTCCGAATTCACCCCAGTGGTGCCCTACTTTACACGAGTGAATAAAGTGAATGTGATTGGTCGTTTATCAAGAGGGCAGGATTGTTGTGGCGGAAGGTTCCCAAGCAAGTTTGATTTTGTCCGGTTTCTCAGAAGCATCTTGCTAACCAGTTAGCAACTTAGTGCTAGTAGGTTCCCAATGGGAAATTACATTGGGACCAAGTAGCACTAAATTGGTGACTTAGAAACGACACTGTCAAGGAACGCTATGGACAGCGGAAACATGCAAGAGGAGGAGAGTTTTGTGTCGGAGGTCGTGGATGAGTCTCCTCCGTCATACATTTTTTATTTCACGGAGGAAAGCGGGGACGAAGATGTTGTGGAAGAGGACGCCAGGGCGGCAGAAGCTTGGTTTGGTGTAGAAGGCTTACAGCCGTACATGTTTGAGCCCTTGCCTCGCAACGCTGCCAGTTCTGTTAACTCTACGCCTGCTGAAGACACAGACGTCAATCCCCATGAACAATGGGACGGGACTCAATGGGAAAGTAAATTATTCTTATTTCAACTGTTGCGTATATTAGCTGCGAAATATGAATCAAGATGCTATGATTGGAAAAAATTGACAGATGAACGTTGATATATGGCCGAATTTAGGTGTTCAGGCTGACGTATAACTAACTGGCCTGCATAAGATAGCAAAAATAAAAAACAGCATTTATTATTTTTTTTAAGTAGAAATTTTCTTAATTTTGGGACAATATCATCTGATAAAGAGTACATTTATATACACGTTTAAGCCAGAATAATTTGACATTTAAATATGACTTCCCTACGACTTTAAGGGTCATGCTCATGGATCCAGAGTGGCAGTCTGTTGAAGTGGGACTCAAACTCAGATCCTCAGGATTCCAAGCTCTATGCCCTAACCACTCCCAATTAATTACCAGTATTGTAAGTTTTCTGTTTATTTTCTGTAGCTTACTGTATAACTGAACTGCAAGACAAAGCCAGAAACCTTTTTAGGTGAATTTCTTTTTAAAAATAATCTATAATTTTGTTGAAACGCATGACAATTTAATTATCACAATAATAAACAACAATAAAATAAATAATAATATAATTCTAATTGTTCCTTATAAAATGAAATCATTCAGCACCAAAAGGGTAACCTATTTCTTTCACTGCGCTTAAAAACATATACTGTCATAACTTTTTATTATTAAGTTTTACATCTTATAAAATGTATTAAGCTTCAACATATCATGTATTTATTATGTTTTCATTATATTTATCTTCAACACAGGTGTCTGTAGCTAATGGCTAAAGAAATACACAAGGTTAATGTTTAGCATTAAAGTCAACGGTTAGCTATTCCCAAAGCTAATGCTAACATGCCCTTCACTTCTACTCACCTTCAGCTTATTACATGTCAAAAACTACCAGTGTCTGACATTAATCTGTATTCTATAACTGTTTGTTTAGCGGTTTTATTTCAGAGCTACAAAAATATGCCAGATATGAGCTGCTATGAATCTGAAGGGTAAGCTTAATTTTAGTGGGTAGCAAGTTAGCTAACATCTACCTTGGCTAAATTGGGACTAAACTCACCTTATTCTTGCGAAATTGATCTAGGACATAGTTGTAAGCCAGCGACTGTTTGTAACTCTGTCCCTGAATCGCACGTAACTCTTTTAATATTCCTCTACAGACTCTTAAAGGAGATGAGAGCGACGCCATCTTCACGGTGCACTGCTTACCAGCAGCGCGTCAGGGCAGCCAGGCATTAGCAATCAAACAGAGCACTGTCATTCTGTGTAACAACCACAAGGTGGCGGCATTGTACGCTTTATAAATTGGATGACAGCTTGGCTTCTGCAACAGGTAATCTTTTTTTTTTTTTTTTACAGGGATATTCACCATCACACCTGTTTGACACATTCCCTGTGGTTCATAGTTTTAAGGGGAAGAATTAAAAATTTATTAAGTTATTAAATCAGCACACTAAAAAAAAAAAAAAAAGAAAAAAAAAGAAAGAAAAAGAAAAAAAAAACCGTGGAAGGGGAGTTCAAGAGAGAGAAGTGCAGAAAGACCCCAACATGTATCAACCTGGACACCTGCCTGGTGCAAAAATAAAGATATAAGCAACTGATCCATGTGCAACATCCCAAAAAGGAGATAATTAAAAAAGTAGAATAGATACACCTTTATGAAATACTGTAAAAAAAAAACCCAACATAAAATATATAATAAGAGGAGAAAATAAACACACAAATACACTTGAACCAGTAAATTAATTTACAAGCATAAAATAAACACTCCTATGAAAGAATTATCAAAACACAAAAAATATACCCTCTAAGAAAAATAAATTTTTTTTTTTTGGATTTTTATTTTTTCTCGTTCATCATAAGTTCTGCATTCTCATAAAAAGATATTTGATATTTTCTTTGCACGGCTATTGTAGTTTAGATAGCCATAATGGTTATCAGAACCACATCTAATGTGAGCGGTGTTTGAGTTTTGTCTAAATAATCAAGTAGTAACATTTCATATGCGGTCATTTCTGTAAAAAACAAACAAAAGAACAAAAAAAAAATCTCTAATCTATCTCATTACTAATGTGTTTAAAGCTGTTAATGACCTATTAAAAAAACATCAAAATTCCCGATATATATTAGCAAATTTGTTTATTTTGTAAAACATCCATTTTATTTCTGTTTTCAGGTTTTGAAATAAAGGAAAACAAAATATTTAGCAAAGAGAGGATGGATATGTTGTCTTCAATGCATTGCTAATATATAAAAAAAGATTATTTCCAAGCTATAAAGAAAGAGAGGAAAGGTTTATCATCTTTCTTTTCAGTTTCAATCACAGTCTTACAGTATTACAAAATAAATGCATAGTTAGGGTATGTATTGCAACATATATTAGTAAAACTTCTTTGTTTGACTCCCTCTCGTGGTTTGGAGCACTTCCTTTTTATGGAGCAGGTTTGCTTTTCTATTTGCTGAGTTTTTTTTTGTTGCATTTGGAGTTTGCAACACTCATGTTTTTGCATCTCGTTTCATTGTTTGCTGAGCGCTTGCACTATGGTATTGCAAAAAAAAAAAAAAAATTAACAATTAAGTTCAAAAGGTGGGTATGAATTGGTAAATTGGACCAGTATGAATTGGACCAGAGGCCTGTTTCACAAAGCAGGTTTAACAAAATCAGACTCTGAATTGATCTAGCCTAAGGTTGGAAACTCTGAGTTTTTGGTTTCACAACGGCTGCTGTGAGTTAGTTTAATCAAATCTGAGTAAGTCCGCTCAGAGTTTAGCACGTGTGTAGGAATGTATGTTGGATATTGTATGGATGTTTCTGAGGTTCAGCACACCTGATTCAGATGATTGCAGTTCAGCAAAGCCTAATAATCTGCTATCAATTGATAACAGGTGTGTGAAAGCTGGGAAACATCTAAAACATGCAGGGCAGTGTGCCTTGAGGACCAGGATTGAAAAACACTGGGCTATTTACACCACAGGAGATAGAGATGTCAATGCAGAAAAAAAAAATGGAGAATGTTTTTAAAAGACAGAGCAACAGCTCTACAGCTGCAAAGGAGAGGAAGATGGTGGAGGAGAAGATTGCTGCTTGAGTTAACGTGTAAGATTATATGAAGCTATTACAGGGGGAAAACCACTTTACTGGTTGAATGGTAGTGGATAAATGTATTACATTTAGGTGAAATCTCATGGTAGAGAAGTGCACATGGCAGCAGGTGAAGATGAAGTATAAAAAAGGACCTGCACATCATCTTATGGGGTTCATCCTTATTTTAATTCTGTCTTACATTACACAATAGGTTGCTGTCTGACTGTCCAGCCTTTTTTTTTTTATAATGCTGTTTACACACATTAATCTATGTCTGTCCTTGAACCTCGGTCAGCCTCAGCAGATGGCCGCTCACATTGAGCCTGGTGCTGCTGGAGGTTTTTTTCTTGTTAAAAGGTAATTTTCCTCTCCACTGTCGCTACAAGCATGCTTGGTGTGAGGGATTGCTTTCAAGTCAATGAGTTGATGTAATCCACTGGTTTTCCCAAGGTAGAAAACTTTGAACCAATCTGAGTGTATGAGCTAGTTTAATTGTCTCTTTAACGTGCCTTTAGATAACATGTATTATGAATTGGTGCTGTAGAAATAAACTGAATTAAAAACGGAATCAATGCTCTCAGCTATATTATTTACTTATAAATAGCTGTTAAAGGACTCAATGCTGCAAATGTGAGGACGGAAAGAACCCTGGATATAAAAGGACATCTTTACGCGGTCTGCGAACCCTCTCCCTATAAATATTAAATTTTCTGCAATTTAATGCTGCTCATTCTAAGTTATTATTTTTAACATTCAATAGGTCTAACGGAACTAGTGAATGGTTTTCTTTTTATCGTTCTTGCGAAACTATGACGGAACTCTGCTGATTAAATCAGGAAATAAAACAATGTGATTTGCTATACGGAGGATGGAGACAGAGGACACCTGCTCCCCACCAGGTTAGCTCTGTGGAGCATGTTACTATGGTAACAGAAAAAGAGGTTGAGTAAACTCTCTTTGTGAAATGGAAAATTCTGAGTTTTCCTGATTTCATGTTTAAAAAATATGGAGTTCTCAATAAACCTGCTTTTTGAAACAGACCTCTGGAGACAAAAGAATGTCATAGGCATAGATAAAAAGAAAATATTAATAAAACTACAGTACATGAAAGATGGGGGGGGGGGGGGGGGGGGGGGGGCTCCTTCCCCACCCTTGGTGAAACCCCTCCCCTGCATCATAAAGCATATATGTCGCTTAATGAGCTGGCCTGTGGTTTGCAGTGAGTGTAATGTTACATGTCACATGATGTCAGAAAAAAGAAAAAAAAAAAAAACCCAACAGGAAAGCACAGAACCTTTAGCAACGGTCCTTTGAGAGCAATCATGAGTGTGGTGATGAATTTATTGCCATAGCAACACCGAGTTTGGCTGAGGGCAAAATGTAAAAAGAAACAATCGGTTTCACAGTGCCGCAGACAGGAACCAGAGGTCCTTTAATGCTTTTGAGTTGGTGCAAAATGAAGTGGTTGGAACCCTGAAAAGAAGATAGTCATCCACCGGGACTGCAGGCTAAAATTATTGAAGCTTTAATATATTTTTTACCTGGATGTTATTGGAATCATGAAAAGACAGTGCTGGACAATTGTAGGGTGGAAGGAAATTGATGCATGTTTTCCCATATAAGAATAAAAAAAAATTCTGAAAACTATAGTCGCAAAAGACACATTTGTTTTCACCACCATTTGAAAACCCTTCAATCTTCTTCAATCACAGCCACAAGTCCTTAAAGCATGGCTCTGCAAGCTTTGCAGAGGGAAGCGTTTTCCCATCCTCTGCTCACTGACGGTCGTTTTTTTTGGAACATTTTTGCAACTCGTGTTGGTTTGTTACATAAAATCCCCCCAAAAACTTAAAGTTTGTCGTTGAAATTAAATAAAACTTGAAAAGTAAATATTATCAACCAACAATTTTAATGATTCCACTACCATTTTGATTGTATATTGATGATTGACTCTAGAGGGAGCCAGTCTCTTATTAGTTACACACCAGTTTGGTTCCTTGTCTTTATTGGAAGGGCCCCTCTACCCTTCTACCTTCCCCATATCACACTCTCTCTCTCTTACACACACTCTCTTTCAATGAATACTAATGCAGTGAGTGGGCCCACCTCCCTTCCTCCCATCTTTTTGCAGTGATGGGCGGGAGAAGGGGAGACAGAGCAATTCCAGCTCAGTATCTTTCCTCATGAGGTAGGCTGTGCTTGACTAGCAGCAACAGCATCATCCCCCCCCCCCCCCACAAGTGATGCCTTTTTTTTCTTTTTTTTTCTCACATTGAGCAATACAGGTAACGCCGCCCGTTGCCACTGCAACAATGTCTAGGCTGTGTGTGGGGCTCGTGGTGTCTGAGCAGAGTTAAGAGGAAAAGCGGAGAGGACATCTGTGGCTGGTTTCTGTCATCTGGATGGGAAGAGCTTTTTGGCAAAAGAGGGAGAAGAAAGCAGAAGGCAGCCGAGGAAGGGGAACAACTGGCAACAGCCAATCCCCCCTTCCACTCACAGACTGGAGACAACGGAGGCCACTGGAGTATTTGCTTTTATCTTTCGTTTTTTGTTCTTTTTTTTCCTCATTGCGCTGCTGGGAGGTGCTTTGCCTTTTCATTTGCTCGCTCTTTCGGTCCTCTGTCTCCTCATCTATTTTGCCATTTACCTGGTCAACAATTTCTTCTATTTATGAGCCAGACAAGGAAGGAGAGAGAGAGGGAAGCAGAAAGACAGAGAAAAGGAGAAAGAGACAGAGGGGGGATTTTTTCCCCCCCTCTTTATCCTCTTTTATCCCCTCCATCCATTCTTCCCTCCCGTTCCATTGCCTTCCCTCCCTGTGCAGCCCACGCTCCCTCCTCTCTCCCTCACACCTCCTCACACGTAACTTTGGCTACTCTTATTTTGACTCCACCTGTCTTTTAATTTATATCTTTTAAGCAGCTCTAAATTGGCTTTCTTTGTCTTTTCTATTTATGCCTTTTTCACTTTTACTCCTATCCCCCCCCTTCTTTTTTCCCCCTTATGCATCTTATCTGGCTGATCCTTAACTCTAACCATAGGTAGGTCTGATGAGTGTTTAGTGTCTGTCTTTGTTTCCTCTCTCCGTGTGTGCGAGGTGTTTTGTGTTTGCAGCACACCTTGACATGATCCACACACACTCACACAATTGGCAATGCTTCGGTATCTCCATGGCACTCCTCCCATCCCGCTCTCAGCTGATTCCTGCCTCATGCCCTCCTTACGTCACTCTTCCTTCTTTCATCCTTGTTTTCTGACTTAATTTCGCCCCCCCCCCCCCCCCCCCCCCCCCCCCCCCCCCCCCCCCCCCCCCTTCAAGTGACTCATCAAGTGAGCACCTTCAGCCATCATCACGGACCTCCAATGTTTGACTGCCTTGTCATTAAAAAGTGTGTTGTGTCCATTAAAGGGGCTTCATCACGTCTACATGTTTGTTTTATTTGGTTTTCCTGTCACACACACACAGACACACACCCACCAGTAAACTTTCTCATCTGCTGAAAAGCTCCATTTTTTTTTTAATGTTTGACCCAACGGAGGTCAGGCTGAACAGTAAGGGCCCGTTTTAACTTGGTTGCTTCAAAGCCCCTCCGTTTTTCAATGCCCTCTTTTCCTCTCTCCTCCCCTCTGTCTCCTCCCTCCCCGTCCCTCTTTCTGTCTCGTATCTTTCCCAAACTGACTCCCAATTCCTGCAGACTGTCACACACACAAGCTTCTAAAGAGAATGGACTGCCTTTTTATTGTTTTTCATCTTAAAGGACATCTTATCCCTCGTTGTTTTCCACTTTTTCTGGCTTAACTCTTACCTACTTTCATCATATCTCACCTTTTTATTTTCTCTCCTCCTCTGCTTTCATCCAGTCTATTCTTCCACACTGATCCTGCTCATTGATTCATTGTTAATTTACATTTTTTTTTGCCAGTGATAAAAGAATTGCCACACATTACGGAGGAAGATTTTGCAATTGGATTATGTGATTCAACAATTTATTAAATATTATAATCACAAGGAACAGAAAGCTGAATGATTTTTGGACTGACTGGGAGGTAAATGGAGCATTGTGTGTTAGCCATAGCAGAAGCACAGAAACATACACTTTAGTTGAGAAAACAAACAAAAAAAAAAACAGTGGAGAAAATCACATAGCTCATCTTCATTTTTAATTTTCTTAATTTTTAAATATTTGCATTCTGTTTCCGAAGGAGATTTAAAACCGAATGAAGACGGCGGAAAAGTGGGACTCTGGATATATAAGCTTTCCTGTGGAATTACCATTTAAATCCTGGATTCGATTTTGAATGAAACTAAAATATTTACCAGTAAAACAAAGATTTTTTTTTTCAAATTCTTGAATTTTATTCAGGTTATATGTTATTTTTTTTTTTTTTAAAGGACCAAAACTAATTTGTCTCTCGGTTTTTAAATCTTTACTGGATATTACAACTGTGGATTAAAGACTGAAGCAGCATTTTTTCTCAATTGGCCTTGATTTTAATTTCTCCATTCTACAACAGCTCAGCCCATTAAACATAACTCATTGTTTAGAGATCAGTAGGTGAGTATTTTTCATTGGATCCACACATGCTTTTCCTGGTTTTGGATGAAGGGCAGATGGAGATATTTATAGAAATGCATTTTGCCATATCAAGTTTTCCTTTTGCACCCACAGGCTCACATGTTTATATATTTTTATATATGTGTGTGGGTCTAAAGTGCTAAATGCTGGTGGATTATTGACATCATTAATAGCCCTCCCACTTTAAATCCTTTTACTGTTTTCTCCCCTACGTTTTCCTTTCCTTCTCTTTAATTCATAAAAGTAGCAATGAAATAATAATCATGAGTGTCTATCAATGTGAAAAAATTAACTTTAGATGTTAAATTATCTTCTGTTCCAAATCATCGCTCTGTAGAGCCACTAGTTTCGGAGAAGAAGGGAAAAAAGGACTGTGACTTGATGCGAGTTGGACGTACTCGCTTATGTAGATCAATAAAGTAATCTACGTGATGAAAAAGAGTACACTTCCCTTTCTCGAGGAGCAATTTTTCTTATCTGACGTTAAACCAACGATGCCAAAACTGCTTTAACAGTAGAAGTGTAATAATGATGTTGCTCCAGAATCGAGCTCCTGCTCTTTATCTGCAACCAAATTCACATTCAAAGCCATTGTGTTCATCTCTCTATCCCATCACAGACACATACAGATCCCATTGTCCATCTATCTGTCGTGCAGCGGTGATTGACCCTGTTTCTTTGATTAACTTTCCAATCATGTGTCAGACAGTGTGTTTTGGATTTACAATATAAATATGTGTGTGCGTGCGTGCTCGGTCAAGGTTGTTGCGTCACACCTGTAAAATCCCCCTGGGACCTGCTCTCATAAACTCGCGGTCTATTACCCATTCTGCTGGCTGCTCCCTGGCAAACATGTGACCCTCCTTAGCCTTTCTGCAGATGGGCACTTTAGCTCAGGTAGTCTGTCAAAGCTGTCATTGTTGCTGCCACACTGCAAAACACACTCTACGGGTGCAGGCTTGGCCCCTGACACATTGCTCGCTGCTGTAATGATTACCGAAACTGTCTGTGGTAGTCTTTTATGATTGATATTCGCTTTTCCTGTCTTTAAAAAATATGCAGCAGGGCTTGACAGAATCAAAATGGATGTTAAAGTGGACTTCATAGCCCACTTAGATGGAAGAAGGCTTTTCATACTCCTCATTTCCACCTCTTCTTAGTACCGGTAATATTGTGAGCAAAACAGATCTTAATAGAGTTATAGATGTGATCTGCTGCCCATCTTGGGATATACTTTTTCCAATACTGTAAATTGTAAACTTTTGCAGCAAATAATAAAGAATGTGTCGTGTTTTCCAGGGTTGAAGTAGTACCAAAGTGCAGACAAGAATGAAAGATGAGCATGATTAAGAGTTTATTAACAGTAATTAATAATTACAGGGAGAGAAATATAATATATCATATTCATGTTATTTAAGATAATTTGTAAACTGAAAGTCTCAGTCTTTATGTTTTCATTGCTTTAGAAAAAGCTATGCATAATTACATAGGAGCGGGTTTTGCATATTTGGAGGCAGACATCTTCGAGCTATGGCAGCACAGAGCTGACAAACTAGTGACTGTAGAGATCGCCATGACGCTCGATTGTGACTACATCAAGTTAGCCCTATAAAAAAATCTATATCCTACACAGAATAATAAAATACTGTTTATAAATTTATCTGTGAAAAAAAACAACTCATCATCACTAGACAAGATTGGTGATGTGGACATTTCGGAAGCCATTTTGTACCATGATGGCTTCCGTATTGTTGGAGAGGGAGTAGCGGTGGTGGAAGCGGTTTATGTCCCTGCAGTCTGACCAGTAGATGTTGCTTAAAATCACACAATGTAGCTATTATAGAAAACTCTAAGGAGAAACACAAAGATGAAGCAAGTAGTAAATCCAATATGTAATTTATTGAGTCAGATATTTAATTCTTCAACTGTCAAAAAGGTTGAGGCAGAAGTAATTAGGGGCATGCAAAAACTATTTATGAACCAAAGGGGAACCTTTGACCTATTTCAACAGTGGGCAACCCCCCCCCCCCCCCCCCCCCCCCCCCCCAAAACAATAAGGAAGTTTAACATTTTTGAAATCTCTACAAAAAAAAAAAGAAAATAATTTAAGAGATTAATGTTAATTGAATCATGTGGACTTTTAACCAATCTGTCTTTTCTTTTAAACAGTTTAATGAGAAAGCAAAGCAGATTCTATTTTCGACACATGTTTCACAGGGAAGATTATTGGTGATGCACCACATCCAATGTAATTTCCCATTCTGAACCTACTAGCACTAAGTTGCTAACTGGTTAGCAAGATGCTTCGGATAAACGGGCCACAATCAAACTTGCGAAACCTTCCTCTACAGCAACCCTCTTGATAAACGACCAATCACATTCACTTTATTTACTCGTGTAAAGTCGTGCACCACTTGAGAGAATTCGGAACTGCAACAGTTGGAAGGGCTGTTGCCCTACGACTTTAAGGACAATTTAGAGAAGCAGATTAAGCTAACTGTGGACTGTGCGAGGAAGCTAGAGTACCCAGAGAGAACCCACACATGCAGTGGGAGAACATGCAAAGTCCATGCAGAAAGACCCCGGGCCAAGAATCGAACCCATAACCTTTTTGCCGCAAGGCAACAGTGCTACCAACTGCACCACCATGCAGCCCAAAAACTGTTATACATTTAAAAAAGAATAAAATTAGATTAAAAAAAAATGATCTGCAGACTAAATATGAACTGCTTGCAACTTTAAAATTGTATACATTGGAACTGTCCCTTTAAGAAATCTTATGGGGGTTTGCAATCATCATTGTTAAACAGGGTAGAGAGGAGACAGCAGGGGCTGAGGAGATTCATAATCCTATCCACTCTTCCTACTGATTTTCACTCTGTCTCTCTGCTGCCTAATGAGACAACAAAGCAAGCCTTGTTTGTGGCTCTCAGCGCTGCAGCCTCCCCAATAGAGCCTGCATTAACCCCTTCATTAGTTGTTTTGTATTCCACTGATTCCACTCTGTGCTGTGGGATCACAGAATCCTACCTCACTGCCGCTTTTGACAATAAGCCTCTGAGCAGTCGGCGTGGAGCAAGCTTAAAACCCAACACCTCAGATTCGCTTTAGATGCAGTGCCGTGAGACAACCCCATCCATCATCTTGTTCTAAATGAGAGAATCAGTCCACAGAGCTCCATCTGAATCTCGTAACACGGTGACATGTGTCTCCATGTTGTTCACCCGTTGCAGAGCGAGCTGGGAACCTGTGTGGGATGACTCCAACAAAAGTACATTTGGATTTTATTGGCTGTATATTCACTTCAAGAGTGCAGAATATGGGTCATGATCTGATATAAAAAGGCTATTCAATAATTCATCAGAGCTGATTAAGAGGACTCGCATCGACAGAGACCCTGTCCAAGAGAAGTGATGTGCACAGAAATGCATTTAGGCCTCTTTATAAGATTAGAACCGAGCTAAGAACAAAGATTCAACAAATGCCTCTGAACTTAAAGGCAGAGCTAGAAAACATTCCGTTTTAATAGCTTTTTAAACCGCTGTAGAATTTCTCACATTCACTGTTAGCTGCAGCGCATGTGTTTGGCTTTATTAGTAATCATGTGCAAGTTGTCTTAGTTCTGTGAGGCCCATCAATCTATTAAATATGGAAAGAACAATCTGTTACCCTGCAGAGACTGGTTCATTATTCATACGCATTTTTCACTTAATCATTTATTCACCTAAAGTATGGCTCAAACTCGCCTCTTGGATTCCGACGTCCTTGTTTGGACTCTTGTTTGTTAAAAAGGAGATGTGAATCAGCTTTTATATATTTTTCTTCCTGACCAGTAAAGCTTTTTTAAAAGCTGGTTTAAAATGACTTGGAGTGTGAAAAATGTTATGAAACCTGTTTTCCTACAAAGTTTATAACTAAAAATGTCATGCATCTAAATACTTAGCCTTTAGCCCATTGGTTTTTATGGCTGTATGTTTCAGTATAAGAATTTCCCTTAGAGGATAAATTATCTTTTCCCCCCTCACATAATACAAAACAGGGCTGTGCTAAAGCTCTTGATTCAGCAATAATAAAAAGGGTTATTTCAGTTTCTTTTATAGTGTAGCAAAAACAACAACAAAACAGGTCAATTCTGCAATAATTTGGAAAGTGTGTTTAATCTAAATTGAATATTGATCATCTTTTATTCCAATTTGTGATCAGGGGTACCTTCATGCCACAAAGCAGATAAATTATGGTAATAAAGTAATGCATTATATCTAAACCATACCTCCATTAAGAATTTTGGAGCCAGAGATAAAACAACATAAGGATTTCTCAAAGCAGTAAACAAAAATGATCAGTAATTGATTGGTTTTGCAGATAAAATAAACAACATTGTACAGTACTTTTCATTGAGTTTTCATAAGCCTTCAATACAGTTGATCAGTAAATCTGGTCATTAAGGCATGATTTCAAAACTACTTGTCCAGCAGGTCACAGTGCATCCAGGTGGCAGGTCAGTTTTCTAACTGCCTGGTTGTCCCACAAGGTACTATCCTAGGTCCCCTTCTTTTTCTAATCTAAATTCACAGTTTAGATAAAATATCCTGCATGCTAAATTTAATTTTTATGCTGATGACACTGTCTTATATTATGCTGCCAATAAAGTTAAATGTGTGTTTTAAAATCTACAGCTTTTGATGTGAGAGATCTTAATCTAGTTTTAAATGCTATGAAAATTAAGTTATTTGAATCTCCAGTTATATAAGTTTATCAATATTGCAATTGACGCAGATGTGTTTCAAGGTCATCAGATTGAAGTTGTCTCATTATGAATATCTAGGATTGATGATTGATAATTCCTTCAGTTTTGTTCCTAATATTCGACAGCTTGTAACAGAATTAAAGCTGAAGCTGGGTTTTTATTTTAGAATTAGATCTCGCTTATCACGTGATGCTAGAAAAGGTGTTGTTGCTACAGCTTTTTTTTTATCCGTTTTAGATTGTGATGACATAGTTTATATTTTCCAGCGTTTAACTGTCATTACGCTGTCACAATTACAGAGCAACAAAATTAAGGGAGCTCAGGGAGCTAGAGTGGCAGTAGGGCTTGAACTCAGAACCTCAGGATTCCAAGCACAATGCCCTAACCACTAGGCCTAAAGCAGGCATTAGCATGAAGGGTCTTGCCTAAGGATCTGCCATCGCGGCTCATTCCCACCAGCTGGGATATGAATCCTGTTTAAAGGAAGGGTGACTTACCACTTGAGCTAACCAGCTGCAAATATGTACCCACGTTCACACTGGTTGCATATGCTAAATTCTGTGTACCATGGAGCATTATGTTTCATCAATGGTCAAGGAGCTCTAACTTATCATTGTTTTCTGTATAACCATATTGTTTGGACTGCCCTGTCCACCAACAGATTTGACCACTTAGATGTGTTTACTTATGAAGCCACTTTTGGTTTACTCCCCTCAAGTGGTTATTCTCCCTGCTCGAACAACTTCATTCTATTGTCTGTGCCTAAAGGTCGTACCGAGGATGGCAAAAATCCCTCTAGTTTTCTTTTTATTCAGATTTGAATCAACTGCAGAAGGACTGAAATGTGAAAGAAATTGTTCCTTGTAATATATCTAAGGCCACTCTTTTTCATTTAGTAAAAAAAGGTATTTTTTGCAAATTCAGTGATTTATATTTAGTGGTATTTTAGTTTCATTTTATATACAAGGCTGTGTTTGTTACTTTCTTTCTTTTACTATCTATACTATATATGAACTGATTTTTATATCTGTTAGGTTTGCCTAGTGCTCTCTAGTAGGAGATTCATAATCTCAATAAGACATGCGGTCATGGTTAAATAAAGTTTACATACATAGTAATTAGGATGTACACTCAGAGATAGCAGTCAACATCTAAATATGAAATAAAAAGACATTTATTCAGTATAAACTAAGATTTCTGCCTGGAGACAAAATAGACATTTCTATACTTAGATTTTTTCCCTCCTACATATCCATATTTGGAAAATATAAAACCACAGTCTAAACTTTCTGGGATAACACTGTGTTGGAACCCACTTATTTGTTTGTTTTAAATCACCCTCATTTAACCTGATTTATTATTTCTAGGGTGAGCATGTCGGAGAATGCGATCCATGCCAAAGCACATAGTGGCTTTGTTAGAGTCTTAAATGAGTGTGCCCTGCTTCTAACCCTTTGTCCTCCTTGTTCCCTTTGCAATAACAGAGTGGCAGACGTAAGAGAAACAAGACTCTCTGAGCATCTTTTCCAAGGAAGAGAAGTGACGCTGCTCCAGTGGAGTGCAATTACCTCAACATTGATGCTTTACCCTCTTGACCATCTGAGGATTTTACCCTAAAACGGCTGTAAGTTCTTTATTAGTAACTCACTCTTTACAATCAGGATTATATAAAAAGGTGTAATTTGGAGATACAACAGGATGAATGCAGCAGCTGTGCCTCACTCTTAAATGTACCAGTTCATGACTCTCTGGATTTTTACTTAAAAATTCAATTCATGCTGCAGATGGAAGACATGTTTTTAATAAAACAAAGCTTTGTTAAACCAAACAACTCAAAGCGCTGAATAAAAAACTAAATTGGCTTTAGCTTTCTGATGAGTTTTCCTTTTTTTTGAACCCATAGCCATTATGTTTTCAAGACACAATTGTGATCTGTTAACAAAAGAACCTGAATTGCTTTATTTAGTTACTGTTCAGCAAAAATCCATAAAAATGAATATCTTAAAATTCAGAAGCTTCTCCTGTTAGATACGCATAATGTTATTGTTGATTTTCCTCCAGCCTCCCTCAGTCTGAGGCTATGACAGGGAGAGAGGAGTCCCAGGCCGCACCACCATGCTACTTCTGAGAAGCTGGGATGAGACTCTGGCTGGCAAAACACGAGGTGAGACAATATTGATGCATGGGGCCTCCTTCTACTGTTTTCTCATCCCCACAGAGACTCCCTGTAACAACCCATCTTATCTCTGCTGCATGTTTGTGCATCCTCCGCTTCCCTGAACTGTGTCCCGTTCTTTAAGCCCGATGATGGATGTTCTGAAACTCCTGAGAGCTTATTTTTTGCTTTGTATCTCACGCCAGGTTTGCCTGGGGGTCAGAATAGTGGTTCAAGGTGGAGCCTGCAGACAAATGGTCTAATCCTTGGTTTGTAGCATGGCACGCACTTTGATCAATGGCACGCATCAGTGCATGGACGGTCGGCCAGACCCAGGCCATATCGACTATTGGCCTCATTTCCATAGCACTATGTGTATTGATCAGGCTATTAAAGGATTTGTTTGCTGTGATTTTGAAGTCAAAGTTTAAGACTATTTGGAAAGTAAACTTATAAGAGATATGTTCATGCAGTAAGTGTACAGTGTCATGCTAAAATAGTCCCTCTCTCTTGAACATTTACATAGTTTATTGTGCTGTAACCAGATATCAAAGCACCGTACAGTGTGCAACTCTGAAATAGAACCACTAAAGATCAATGGTGTTGAATTTATTTTACAAATCAGTATCTAAAGAGTTGCTTTTTACTCCAATTTCGGCAAATTTTTCTGTGTAAAATAGCTTAAAATTAGTCAATGACATTTTTTTTTAAATCTTGGCACAGATTTTCTGTTGTTGTTATCCCGGTTGTGGGGTTAGAGTTGTTGTACTGCTGGAAGGAGAACCCTCATCATATCAAGTCTTAAACAGCCTCTAATAGATTTTTATGCTAGACAGTTCGGTATATAACTCCATCCATCTTCCCTGAATAAGAAAAGGAGTCCCATAGGATGATGCTGCCACCACCATGTTTTGTTTAATGGAGGATATGTTCAGGCTCATGTGCAGTGTTACTTTTTCATCATGTCAAAGAGTTTTTGCACGTGGACCACATTTTCTGATTGTGGTATCATCTAACCAGATCTCCTTTTTCCACATTGTTTGCTGTTTCCCTAATATAACTCTTTGCAAACTTTAAAAAAATGGCTTTTTATGTTTTTTATTTATTTATTTATTTATTTTTAGAAAAACATATTCAATTTCCACTTTTATATTAATGGTTTGAAGTATGCCTTTGAAAATGTTATGTATTTACTAAATGACTCCTTAAATCATCCAGTTACCGGTAGTTGTTTAATTTCAGATGGCTGTTTTGATGATTTTGGGGGATTTTTCTCTATAAAAATGTAAAAACAAACACTTTCTATCTCCTCATATTTAAACAATACTTCATGTTGGTCTGCTGCATAAAATTCCAATGAAATACTGTATATTGATATTTGCGGTTGTATTTCACCAAAACTGTGGAAAAGGTCAAGTGAATATGTGTGCCTGAAAAAAGGGGGTGTCTTGCATGATAAGATAAAGGAGGACATATTTTTCACTATGTTAAATTACCAACAGCAATTTGAAACGAAGGGCTGTTATTATATCAGAAGATTTGATCTTTTTTTTTTTTCATCAATCGTTGCTCAGTACCGAGCTTTATTAAAAACTCTATTCACCTTGTTCGCTGACTACCTACCTAACACCCTGTACCTTTTTTAACGCAGCCCCTCTCCTCCCTTTGCACATTATTAATCAGCTGTGACGTTAAAGAGGCATGAGTCTTGTAGCAAAGGTGCAGGAGGAAGAAATGAATGTTCTTAGTTTTTAGTAAGAAATGGGAGCCAGAGAATGTGGGGGGAGCAGGAACTTGAAGTGGTGGTGGTGGGTAAATGGAGTATGCTGGCAGTGTGTGAGACAGTGCGTTTGGAAAGCAGCGGCAGGGCACAGTTTCTCCCATTACTTTAAGTAGCTGCCTCGACCAGCCTTGGCGGAGCAGCTTTGTAATGAAGTGCCTCAGCATCGGCCCTCTGTCGTTAGCTGAAAGTCACACAGCAGCTTCAGCTGGTGCTGACATGGCGCTTTTCCTACTACCGCCTTACGTCAGAAAACATTACCATATAGATGCTGCATCTCATTTAAGCCATGCTGTTGTTTTTACAGTACTGGAAAAAAAGAAGAGTCATGCTTGAGTTACAGATTAGCAATGCTTCTCGTCGTTTCATTAAGAGTGTTATTGAAGTCCATGAAGCTGGTGGTCAAAAGGTATACAATAGGAGACAGCCTGGGATAAATGAGAACATATTAGAATGATAATGTGTCATGATTTTTTTCTTTCTAAAAGCCTTTTTCTCCAACCTTTGTGTACCTAAGCTTAATAGGATTCCGGCCCTCTCATTATATCAGCGCAGCCCAGTGCCATTAATTAACTGCCGTGTGGCTTTTTTGATCTGGATTTTTCATTTTCCATTTTGAGCCAAATCCATTCAACGGCAGCCTTCCATTCAGACTCCGGGAAGCCATGTCATCAGTCATAGATAATAAACTAGTAAATTATACCGAAGCTGCGATCTTTGATGTGTGAAAGATATGTTGTTTTTTTCAGGGTCGCCTTTCCTCTCTCTGCTGATGCACAGATGCAGCTCACCACACATTTCTGCATTGGGCTGTAACAGTGAGATAAATGAGCACCTCCTCTGCTTTCCCCCTTTGGTGTGATGGTATTACACTGTATTTATTTGTAACAAAATCATAGTTATATATATATATATATATATATATATATATATATATATATATATATATATATATATATATATATATATATATATATATATATATATATATATATATATATATATATATATATATTATTATTTAAATAAAAATCAGAAAACTAAAGGCCTCATTGACAAAGCGGTAGGGGAAAAAAATCACATATTGTGTAATGAATGAGAATCAAGGTTTGGCATTCCTCTATCTTAACTTTATGATTTGGTGCATTTTCTACAATAAAATATTGTAGCAAAATTACCATAATATTATAAAGCAAATACAAAATATAAAGCAAAACTACATGTTTTTTAATGAGTAACCATGTAAATAAACTTCTTTAAACTTCTTTACATTTTTATTTATTTTTGTCAACATTAGAAGAATATCATCAAAGTTTTGCACACATTTTTGTAACTGAGAACCAGCCAGTGTTCCATGCTCCTTCATTGTGTTACGTTTCAAACGTTCCACAGTGGAACGCAGTGTTCCAAACATTAGTTCCACATAGTAATATTCTTGTTGTCTGTATATTAGACTTTTTTTTAGTAAAAATTCATTGTTAAACCCAAAAAATCGATCTCTTTGGTTGTGGGTTGCCTTCGAGTCAATGAGTCGATGCAACTGGTTTCCTTAGATAGAAAACTTTGAATCAGTTTGAATGTATGATCTGGTGAACTGTAAAGTGCCTTGAGATTACATATATTTTGAATTGGTGCTATATATATAAACTGAATTGAAGAAAACAATAGAATCGTTTTAGCAGAATGACCTTTGATGTTTTATCCCGCTGTATGTTTTTCCAAATGATCCAAAGTTACACAGAAGTGTGTGGGCAAATCTAATTTATCAAGAGTTTTTATTTCCTTAAAGCATTCAGTGTAATGAATACCAATTATATATGTTAGGCATTGCTAATTCTACTTATTATACGGAATAATATTGTAAAATGCTGCCAACTATTCATATGGTGCAAGTCCCAATTGGTTGTTTATTTTAGTCTGAGGCTATCTTTTGCTCATTAGCATTAATTAAATTTGAACCCACATGCTTTGGCTTGACCTAAATAAGACTGCTTGGATCTGGGTGGTAGAATCGATCAGGTTGCAAAACAGCAGATCGATAGAGCTCCACTCATCCCTGCCCCCAGCTGAGACGCAGTAACATAAGTCACCTGGAAAACGGCCTGCAGATCCCATCATTAGCTGAGCATTACACTTCCAACATTTGCTTTGGTGGCATCTGTTGTTTTCTGGCACATGCCCAGACACTGCTGTGAGGAGGCTTCAGGTGCTGTCAATGTTTGTGCTCCAGTTGTCGGGTAGATCTAGTGCCTAAATGAGTTCTTGATTATGTCAACTGAACCGCAAAGAAATTATTTTTTAAGCTGTTTTACCTGGTTTGGCACCAATGTCAGCACAACATGGAAGCAGCCAGATCTTTTTTTAAGGTTTTTTTTTTTTATTTCCAGTATATGCTGCCTTTTAAAATTATGCTCTTTTTGTACATACTCTCCCTACTCCTTTCTGAGATTTGCTTCCCCTGAGTGACCATTTTCCCTTTTCACCTAGAGGTTAGGTTGCACCGGCTGGTAAATGATTTGTTTTTGCTTCATAAATGCCAGGGGTCAGCATCTTTATGTGGTGATGACTGACAGGAAACACTTGTACCTGTGTTCCGAGGGGTAACTGTGCAGAATGTTGATTGTTTTGCTGAGGAGGCTGAGCAATGCATGATTGCAACCCATAAATAAAGTAAACACACTCTTACATATGTGTGCTGCAAAGTGAAATGGCAATGAAAAATAAAACACCTGTTGTGGGTTTTTTGCTTTACAGATACAGGTGGCTATCTTAAAACTGAAGTTGTGTTAAAATCTTATGAACAGTTACTGTAATATCTTACCTGAAGTGAGGTGTTGAGCCAGAATAAGGTTCTAATGTGATTTATTTTTCTAGAAGTTATTTCATTATTTACATCTACCTTTAGAATAAAAAAAAAGCTAAATAAAACATAACTCTCTAATTGATCTTTAATATGAAAGTAATTCTACAGGTAAAAATATAAAATATTTACATGCTTAATTTAGCAAGCTCACAAATGCTTATTATACAAACTATTTACCCATTTTATCCATAATGCTTCTTCTAAATAAACAGTGCAAGGCAGGGGTCTTCACTGATCTGTTACATTTTTTTCCTTTACAAATTCTGTTTTACTAATTATTTAAAAACAATAAGGTGATAGCTTCAGCGGTATTGAGATAGGATCCCAGTTTTCATTTTTTAAATGTTTTTTCAAAACAAATTGCTC